TGTCGAGTACCTTCAGGAATATATCCTCCACCACCAGGACGGCCTTACTGAATAACCCAATCACGAAGCTGCTGCGGGGATAGAGTATCTGGGTGAGGCAACTGCTGTTGTTTACCATCAGATGCTGCTACGACCGTGATAGTGGCCATGACAGGCAGTGGCAGTCAGTAGCAGCGGCGCAAGGGCGTTAGAAGCGACTGCTGTAGCAGTCAAACTATAATTGTTATAGTTTGTATTGTTTAGTCTAGGTGGTGTACACATTGGTCAGTGATAGGGTTAGGTTTGCTATATCTACCCTTGTACTTGCTCATTCTAGTCATTCATTCTTCCGTTCTATCTTTGACATGGTATAGAGCTTAGTTCGTTCCCATGGGCCCACCTCCGCACGCTTCGTTCGTTGCTCGATAGCCGCCCGTAGCGCGCTCGCCGTCCGTTGGCTCGCTCGTTTTAGGGTTTCACATGCTAGCCGCTCGGTAGCCGCTCGGTAGCCGCCCGTTTGCCGCCCGTCCGCCGTCCGTTCACCGCCCGTTCGCCGCCCGTTGCCCGTCGCGCCCTCCGCAGCCCCCACGGGCCTTAGCTCGTCCCTTAGCGCGCCCCCCCCCCCCCCGCGGGTGCTCCCGTTCGTCCTTAGCGCGGCTCCCGCGGGCGCTTCCGTTCGTCCTTAGCGCGGCCCCCGCGGGCGCTTCCGTCCGTCCTTAGCGCGGCCCCCGCGGGCGCTCTCGTTCGTCCCGTAGCAGGGCCTCCTGCGGGCCCTCTCGTTCGTCCCATCGCGCGTAGCGCCCGTCGTCCGAAGCGCCCGTCGCCTTACCCCCCGTCGTCCGTAACCCTAAATTTCCCCCGTCGCCTTAGCTCCCGTCGACCGTAACCCTAATTTCACCCGTCACCTTAGCGCCCGTCGCCCGTCGCCCGTCGCCTTAGCGCACGTCGCCTTAGCGCCCGTCACCCACCGCCTCACCCTCGCCCGAGCTCGCCCGACCCTCGCCTAGCCAGTCACGCGCGTCGGCTGTCGCGCGCTAGCACGATTAGCAGTGGCTCCAGCGCGTCGCCCCATGCCAGCGCGAGCAGCAGCTAGCGCTAGCGGCTGTCACTAACGCCAGCAACAGCAACTAGCGCCAGCAACAGCAGCCAACGCCAGCAACAGCAGCTAACGCCTGTAGCAGCCGCCAGCGCGAGCAGCAGCCGCCCGTGCCTTCGCCAAGTTCTGGCCGTGCCTTCCACCGCACTAGACCGCTCCCCCACCGCACTAGACTGCTCCCCACCGCACTAGACCACTCCCGATCGCACTAGACTGCACCCCTGTCGTCTGTCTCAGCACTTGTTACCACTGTCGCTGGCTTTGCCTCTTCCCACCGCCTTGACTACGCCGCTCACCTGGTGAGTGGCCCTGCTCATTCTCCGTCCTCTGGGGGTGCTCCTGTCTTTCCTCTGGAGGTCCTAGAGGACAGGCAGTTCGAGCTTGGTTTTCTTGTGGCCGCTGTTCCTCATCTCTGCGCCATGCTGCTTGCCCCTGAGGGGGATCCAGACGCCCTTGACATCCCGATCCCTCGCACACACGCTGAGGCGGTCTCGGGACCTTGGGCCTCGTACTGGATAGCAGCTGACGAGGCAGAGATGGCATCTTATAAGTCCACAGGCACCTACGTCGACGCCGTTCCGCCACCTGGGGCGAACGTTGTCAGTGGCATGTGGCTCTACAAGGTGAAGCGGCCGCCTGGAGCACCACCAGTGTTCAAGGCGCGTTACGTGGCGAGAGGCTTCAGTCAGCGAGAGGGGGTGGACTTCTTCCAGACCTTCGCTCCCACCCCGAAGATGACCACTCTTCGGGTGTTGCTGCATATTGCAGCACAGCGCGACTACGAGTTGCACTCCTTGGACTTCTCTACCGCGTTCCTTCAGGGGAGCCTGCACGAGCAGATCTGGCTGCGTCGTCCGCCTGGCTTCACTGGCACTTTCCCTCCTGGGACCCAGTGGCAGCTGCGCCGACCGGTCTACGGCCTGCGCCAGGCCCCCCGCGAGTGGCACGACACGCTACGTCGGACTCTTGCAGCGCTTGACTTCTTTTCGCCGTCTGCCGACCCGTCGCTGTTCGTCCGGCGTGGCTCGACCCCGTTCTTTGTTTTGGTCTACGTTGACGACCTGATTTTCGCCACTCCCGACCGACGCGCACTGGCCTCCGTGAAGGAGGAACTGCAGAGGAGACACACTTGCACTGACCTTGGTGAGCTGCAGCGCTACCTTGGCCTGCAGATCACCAGGGACAGGGCAGCTTGCACCATTACGCTGACGCAGTCGCATATGGTCGAGCAGATCCTCACGCGGTTTTGCTTCCCGTTCTCCAAGGTACAGCCCACCTCTCTTGGTGTGGACCATGGGCTCACGGCTCCACCTTCGGACGAGCCATTTGAGTCCAGTGGTCCATATCCTGAGCTGGTGGGTTGTCTCATGTACCTGATGACCTGCACTCGCCCAGACCTAGCTTACCCTCTTAGCATCCTTGCGCGCTTTGTTGCGCCAAGGAGACACCGACCTTCCCACTGGTCCGCTGCTAAGAGGGTGGCAAAGTATGTGGCGAGTACATCAGGCATGGGACTTGTCCTTGAAGGGAAGCAGCCAGTTACACTTACAAGTTTCTCAGACTCGTCGTGGGCCGACGACGCAGAGTCGCTGCGGTCTACACAGGGTTACTGCTTCGGCCTTGGGACCGGAGCTGTTTCGTGGTGGTCGACTCGAGCGTCGTCCGTCTCTAGTTCCAGCTGTGAGGCAGAGGTGTACGCTGCGGCCATGGCCGCCCAGGAGCTTCGCTGGCTGTCTTTCCTCCTCACCGACCTTGGTGAGCGGCCTCGCTCTCCCCCAGTCTTGTTCGCCGACAACAGGTCTGCTATCCTGTTGTGCGAGGAGCCCCGACTGGTTGGGAAGGCGAAGCACATCCAGCTTCGTTACTTCCTTCTACGAGAGTTGCAGCAGCGTGGCCAGGCACTCGTGCGACGTGTGGTCTCTGAGGCCAACACGGCAAATATCTTCACCAAGGCGTTGCCGCCTTGTGACCACCAGCGTTTCTGCACCCAGCTCGGCCTTGTGGCTACCGGCCCTCACTTGCTTGCGTAGAGATGCCTTGTCTTGTACTCTTGCATCTTATTAAATATCCTATATATGTGCTTGTAGATAGGCCTTGTGGCCCCTTGCTTCTATAGAGATGCTTGTCATGCATGTTTTGTACTCTTGCATCTTTTAGATCTGCTATATCCTTGCATGTGGACTGGCCTTGTGGCCTCTTGCTTGTTCTCGGACTGTGTGGTGACCTTGAGCTCCACCCCGAGAGTTGCTTTGTTCTTGTGAACTGGTCTTGTGACCGCTGCTTGTTCTTGGTGACTGGTCCTTTGACCCTTGCTCTTGGGTTGTGTGTTGCTCTCTACAGGACTACCGTCACCTAGACTATGGGGGTGTGTCAAACTATAATTGTTATAGTTTGTATTGTTTGGTCTAGGTGGTGTACACATTGGTCAGTGCTAGGGTTAGGTTTGCTATATCTACCCTTGTACTTGCTCATTCTAGTCATTCATTCTTCCGTTCTATCTTTGACAGTAGCTGCAGCTGTAGCAGTAGCGGTAGTCGCTGTAGTGGCAGGGCAGTGAGCGGGCTACAGGGCAGCGCGCGGGCTGCAGGGTAGGGCAGCGCGTGGGCTGCAAGGCTGCACAGGCAGGGCAGTGCGCGGGCTGCAGGGCGTGCGGGCAGCAGGGCAGGGCAGGGCAGTGCAGCACGCAGGCTGCAGGGCAGGGCAGCGCGCGGGCTGCAGGATAGGGCAGCATGCGGGCTTCATGGCAGGGCAGCGCGCGGGCTGCAGGGCAGGGCGGCGCGCGGGCTGCAGGGCAGGGTAGCGCGCGGGCTGCAGTTCAGGGCGGCGCGCAGGCTGCAGGGCTGGGCGGCGCGCGAGGTGCAGGGCAGGGTGGCGCGCGGGCTGCAGGGCATGGCGGCGCGCGGGCCGCAGGGCAGGGCGACGCGCGGGCTGCAGGGCAGGGCGGCGCGCGGGCTGCAGGGCAGGGCAGAGCGCGTGGGGTAGCGCAGGCAGGGCAGCGTGAGGGACGCTGTTCGGGCAGGGAGCGGTCCTACGGATGGACCTGCTCTGAAACCATGTCAGAAGAATGTGCAGAAAATTATCAATGACTAGCAACAGGGAGATACAAGTAGCAAACCCTAACTAAGTTTGTACTCTATACTGAGCACCTCACTGTAGCCTAGCAGATTTAAGAACATATAAATATGTTTTGACAACACCAGCCCAACCCCTCCGTGTACCAGGGCCTGTCCAATCCCGGTGCAAACAACCACCTGGAAATGCGCGCGGTCTTTCACCCGCGTGTATGTTTATTCATGACGCTGCTGTCGAAGCTGCACAAGAGTGGTGGATACGAGGTTAATAGGGAAAAACGAGAAAATGCTGTATGTCATTTCGATTCAAATTCGAATACTATGTCATAGTGGGGAAATCGAGTACTCACTTCTCGAACTTGTCCAGGTTCAATTCGTTCATAACACTCCAGACACCTGTCGGGATTTCACGAGCGAATTCGAGGTGGACCGCCCACGATCCAACCTCGGCTGAATCCATGCCGTAATGGACCATGTCAGTGTCGGGGAAATAGGTGATCCAACAGACGGCCACTGTGAAGTCGAGTAGTTTCTTCTTCTAGAAGCTCCCCATGTTCCTCTTCACACCTCCGACCGTTTGCTCCGAGTTGTAGCGCACGGACACCACTTCCCCCTTCTTGTTCTTCTTTTTGCGTGTAGTAAGACCACTCGATCTGAAATTCTTTGTTTTCCACCATCGCTTCCCCAGCTCGTTGGTAGCACATCCGTTCTTCGCTGTGCCATCTCTTCCGCCGCCTCTCCCAACGTAGGTTGAACGTTCTGATTTCCCGATACATCTTCACCGATTATGTCCTCTAACGCATCTTCACCGATTTCGGGAACCCGCGAAACCACATTAAGAATCCCGGCCCACCCTACTCCTTCCGCCTCTCCTCCCTGCCCTTGCTCTGCTGGCCATCCACATCCTCCACCGCAATCCTTCGCCTCTCATTTTCCATTTTCTCCGTTTCTGCCTCTAACTGCTTTTGTTGCCTCTCCTCTTCCTCCTTTGCGGCTTCCTCCAATCGTGCAATACGATCCATCTCCTCCTGCGCTTCTTGACGCTCTATTTCAAGGTCCCTCTGTTCGCTTTGCTGCCTCCAACCGCTTATCTTCAACGAACTTTCAATCCGCTCACGCTTTGCTTCTAACTCCGCCTCCCTTAGTGCCCGCCTCCTCTACATCGCCTGCGCGTGCTCCTCCCTCTGTCGCTTCTCCTTTTCGCGCTCCACACGCCTCTCCTCCTCTCTCTTCCTCTTCTCCTCCTCCCCCAACTGCCGCGCCTCCACCTTTTCGCGCTCCACTCACCTCTGTTCCTCGAGCCTCTTCTTTTCCTCCTCCCTCTGGTGCGCCTCCTCCTTTTCGCGCTCCTCTAGCATCTTCCTCTCTTCCTCCTCCCTCTGCCACGTCTCCTCCTTTTCGTGCTCCTCTTGCCTCTTTCTCTCTTCATCCTCCCTCTGCCGCGCCTCCTCCTTTTCGCGCTCCTCTAGCCTCTTCCTCTCTTCCTCCTCCCTCTGCCGCGCCTCCTTCTTTTTGAGCTCCACTCGCCTCTGTTCCTCGAGCCTCTTCTTCCTATCCCCCTCCCTCTGCCTCTTCTCCTCCGTCTGGCACTGTTCCGCCAAACGCTGTGCCTCCACTCTCGTATTCCCCACCTTCCTCGCTTGCTCCTTTGAACTGCAGTCCGCTTCCATGTCTCGGCCGCCCTCCTCTCCTCGCTCTCCTTCTCCTTTTCTTTCTGCCACTCCTTCGTCGCATACGCCTCTCTCCAGTTTCTCATCACCGGCCCAGACAAGTGAACATCCGCCACACCAGCGCCCACCCCACCTGCCTCACCCGCCTCACCCGCCTCACCCGCCTCCCCCGCGTCACCTGCCTCACCCTCAGAGGTCGCCGCAAACCTTTCCATGACTTCTTATGCTGCGGAGATAGGGATGTCCGGAGAGTCTGCTTCGAGCTGCGATCGTGAAATCCTCGATCGTTCCTGTCAGCATTAGTTTTAATGCGGAAAACCCACTTTTCGGAGAGAATAATCTTGCCAGGAACCGTCGAGATAGGGATTAAATCTTAGGTGTTGTTGTCATGCAACGCCTTCAGCTCCTTGTCAAGGTTTTCTTTGTGAGGTCCGTTCAGTGCTTGAGTCAAGGTTTTCGGTTCAGTAGGTAGAGGTGGTTGAACCGTTATAGCGAGACCCAGTATCTGTAACCCAGTCTGTCAGTAGCGAGGTTGCTGCTCGGTCTCGTTAGTAGCAGTTTCGTCACCAGCTTCAGGATCGAAATTAAATCCAGGGCCAAGTCTTTCGCTTTCGTTAGAAGCAACGGGCATAGGGGTAGTTGCCACGTTATCGGCGAACTTGTAGTACGGTTCAGCGTTAACGTGTTTGTGAGGATCTTCCTCATCAATCTCGATCGGAACTGAATAGTATGGGGCGGCACCGGCAGCTGCTGACGCACCCGAGACAGCTTCCTCCATTGCGTCAGCTTCGTCTGCTTCTGTAGCGAATGTACGTGTACCTGAAAACCCAGCTGTCAAATCTTCACGGTTGGCATGCTGCCGCTGCCAAGTAGGGTATGTGAGTCGTTCGTAGAAAAGGACGTCACGTGCCGGTACTGTAACCCGATCCTCTACATCCCAGATTTTCCATGCCGCAAACTGTTTCTCGATCCCGAAATGAATTCCCCATCTTGCCCTTTGTGAAAATCGTCCCGCATGTGTGTTCGTACCATACAGCCGAAAACTCGCAACATTTTCGTACTGCCCAACTTCCCTGTCCACTCCTTGTGCGGTGAAGAGTTGCTTGGCAGGGACGAGGAAGACAGTAGGTTGTGGAGCAGCACAGCGTGGTCCATCGCAAATGGCCACTGCCCTGCTGGCAAGCGTACTTCCAGCAGCAACTTGCGCATGGTGGTCTGTAGTGTCCTATTCATCCGTTTTGCTACACCCTGCTGTTGATGCTGGTAAGGCAGCGACTGTAGCTTCTTGATTCCCTGTTCTGCAAGATAGGTCTTGAATCACTGTGAGAGGTATTACAGAGCTCCGTCAGTATGGAAAATCTTCAGCTTCAAATCCCTTTCCCGTTCAGTTGCAAGAAGCCAGGCGACGAAGGCATCATAGGCGAGATTACGGAATAGGATAAGCGCGTGCCAAATGTAGCGTGTTGCAGCGTCGATGAAGGTAATGACGTAGTTTAAGTCTGCTCGTCCTTCCTGCCGTGGAATAACCAAAATGTCACTATAAATCTTCTCCAATGGTTTGTATGCAGGAACTCTCGGGTTGTGATGAGAAGGAAAAGGTTGTCGAGGTAGATCGGCTTCAAGACAAAGTGTGTAGACATGACGTGGTTGACGCAGCTCCGTTCCATCAAGAAGAAGAAGAGCGTCTTTATCAAGAACACCAGCCCGAATAGTGTCGTAAGTTCGATGATTGCTCGGATTTCCTAACATCCGATGCCAAGTTTCTTCTGATGTTGCGTGTCCTGCAGATCGTCGATACAAATCGGAGTTGGCGTAGAAGGCGGCGAAGTTGGCCGGACTCGTATGCGATGTATCAATGACCATGCCACGACGAGAAGCGGATCTGTCAACGACAAGCGGTCCTGTTGTGTGCGATGAGCTCGAAGGTAATGATAGCTGCTGTATCTGTTCTGCTACCCCGTGCTGTTTTGCTTCGCCGTGCTGTTCTGCTTCGCTGCTGATGTTCATTGACTCTTCTGCTGCTCATGATGTTCCAGGTGTACCTGATTCGAATGCTATTGGAGTGGCGTTTTCCCGGTGAAACCCAAGGTGATCCGATTCAGTGTTGAGCTCCTTTGGGTGACAATCTGTCCAAGAGCCGAAGGCGAGAATTCGATCGCTGTATGCTGAAGTTCCGTCTTTCTCCACGTTGAGTATGAACACGCCATCTTGCATTACTGCTTTTGCGATGTAAAATCTGTCAGAATATTATGCTCTAGCCTGTAGTGGGGTGCTCTATAGCGAGTACAACCCTTCTAGGGTTTGCTATTTGTATCCTCATTCTTGCTAGTGCAACTCCTCCTTCTTTGCCTAAACTGCTTCTTGCCTAGCTAGGGCTTTCCTAGCTATGGCGCCTTCTTCTACTGCTGATTCTTCACATGGTATCAGAGCGATATGCTCCTGGCCTGTGGGCCCCACCTCACTGCTTCCGCTGCTACTGCTACTCCCTGTCCGCCGCGCGCCCCGTGGTGCGCGGCGTCGAAATTAGGGTTTTTTCAGCCCGCCGTGCGCCCCGAGGCGCGCGGCGGTTTTCTGCCCGCCGTGCGCCCCGAGGCGCGCGGCGGTTTTCTGCCCGCCGTGCGCCCCGAGGCGCGCGACGGGTTTCTGCCCCGTCACTCGGCGCGTCGCCCCAGGAGGCGCTACGACGGGCGACGGGGACCCGCGCGTCGCCCCCCGTCGCCCGTCGTGGCCTGCGCGCGGCCCGTACAGCCGGCGCGCGGCCCGTACGGGCTGCGCCAGGCCTGCACGCGGCCCGTACGGGCTGCGCCAGGCCCGCGCGCGGCCCGTACGGGCTGCGCCAGGCCCGCGCGCGGCCCGTACGGGCTGCGCCAGGCCCGCACGCGGCCCGTACGGACTGCGCCAGGCCCGCGCGCGGCTCGGGCCGCCTGCTAGGGCTTTCCTAGCTATGGCGCCTTCTTCTACTGCTGATTCTTCACAAAATCCTCCCTTTTGTGAATATAACTGAACTCTCTGTTGTCGCTGTCACACTTCAGGTGTACCCCAACTCGCTCACTATGCTCCCCCCACTCACTTGCTCTGCCCCCCCCACTCGTTCGCTATGCTCTCCCCACTCATTTGCTCTGCCCCCCCACTCGCTCACTATGCTCCCCCCACTCACTTGGTCTGCCCCCCCCACTCGCTCGCTATGCTTCCCCCACTCACTTGCTCTGCTCCCCTCACTCGCTCGCTATGCTCCCCCCACTCACTTGCTCTGCTCCCCCCACTCTTTCTCTTCTTCCCCCCTTTCCCCGTCCCCTTGCGCAGGTGCCATTTGTTTCCTGCAGTCGCCAGGAAGATATCCACTTGAGATGTGTAGAAAGTAGAGATGATAGATATGGTGACAGTAGGAATTCAGATAGCATGTTGTGATTATATATGCTGGTGGGGTGGGGTGTGGGGGTAAGGAAGGGGGGGAGAGGGGGAGGGGTCGGTTGGGTTTGAGTTCCATCAGTTGACTGACACTGAGAAGATTATAGCCAAGTCCCGGCACGATGAGGACATTCGAAAGTTGAATAACGGTGTTCGTCTCCGGTGTCTGAAGAAGAGCTGTACCTTGACGTCGGGTACGCAGAGTTTGATTGTTGGTGACAGTTACTGTAACATCGTGTGGAAGACGTGTCTCATGCTTAACAAAGAACCCGTTGTTAACTCCTATTGTGCACATGTGTTGTGCGCAGCATCTGTCAAGAAACCAAACACCTGGACCGTAGTCGGCGGTTCTTGCGACGCTGGCGTACTGTGGATTAACCTGAAGATTGGTTGGAACTTCTTCCGGTACTTCATATGGAGCAAAAGTTGGAGGTGAGCCTGGAATACAAGAGTCAGTGCGAGTCTTGTAGGCGAGAAAGTTTCTCCCCTTTGCTAATACTGACGTAGTCTGTAGTTTACCCTGTGCAGCTGATGCAGTAGCGGCTGCAACTTGTGGAGGAGCAGCGGCAAGACGTTGTGGTACTGTCTGTTGTCGCTGAGGACAATGATCCCGAGAATGACCCGAAGTCTTACAAGTGCCTTGGTGAAGATATCAGCAGTGTTGGCCTGAGAGGCCACGTAAACAAGACAAAGCTGACCACGCTGCTGCAACTCTCGAGCAAGGAAGTAGCACAGAGCGATGTGCTTCGTTCTGTGCTCCAGTCTGTGCTCCTGACACAAGGCAATCATGGCCTTGTTGTCGACGTACAGAACTGGAGGAGAACGAGGCAGCTCTTCCAAGTCGGTCAGCCGGTAGGTGAGCCAGCGTAACTCCTGTGCAGCCATGGCCCCTGCGTAGATCTCAGCCTCACAACTGGAACTGAGAACAGAAGACGAGCGGGTAGACCGCCACGAAACAGAGCCGGAGCCAAGGCTGGAGGCGTAACCCTGTGACGATCGCTGCGTAGCCAAGTCGTCAACCCAAGAAGCGTCTGCGTGACCAGTGAGGACAATTCGAGCCCGTCCTCCAAGCACGAGCCCCATGCCCGACGTACTGCACAAGTAGCGCATCACCCTCTTAGCAGCCTTCCAGTGCTCTGGTCGGTGTCTCCCGGGCGCAACGTAGCGTGCCAAGATGCTAAGAGGGTAAGCAAGGTCAGGTCGAGTGCAGGTCATCAGGTACATGAGGCAGCCCACAAGCTCTGGATACGGGCCACTCGGCTCTACGGACTCATCTAAAGGCAGAGGTAAGAGCAAGTGACCGGTAGGCAGAGGAGTGGACTGTGGCGAGGAGTACTCGAAGTCGAAGCGCTGAAGGACCTGCTGCACCATGTGTGACTGAGTCAAGGTAATGGTGCGCCGTGCTCTGTCCCGGGTGATCTGCAAGCAAAGATAGCTGCGCAGCTCACCCAGGTCAATGCACGTGTGTCTCTTCTGCAGCTCCGACTTCACGTGGGCAATTCCAGCAATGTCAGCAGTGGCAAAGACCAAGTCGTCGACGTACACGAGGATGTAGAACGGTGGCAGCAAAGTGTCGGTGCGTAGAAACAGCA